CGCTAGCTGCGCCAATCAGAGGATGCTTGACTAAAACTCGCTCGTATCTCAAACTTCAGCTCGTATCTCAAAGCAAAAATCGGCCGGACTCCGGCTCGTATCTCAAAAAACTCGTATATCACTACGCTCGTATCTTAAGACATTACTGTATAAAGTACTTTTTACTTAGAATGACTTGAATTTTAATAAACCGAAGTACGTACCTCTACTAACTCCACCGATGTTGTTGCCTCAACTCGTAGGACGTCCTGCATTATGTACCGGTAACCGTGACAAAAAGGTTGTCATTGGAAAGACATGTAAACACGTGTGAAACAAAAATGATTGCAAATTTGAGATAGGAAAAAATCTATTAATTCTTCATTTATATTAGGTATTTCTTGATTTCAAGTGGTATACATACTGGATGGAGTTGTGCTCTTCATGTAACGACGAAAGAGAAGAAACATTAGCTACGGAAAAAAAAGTAGGGTAAAAGAGCTACCGTAGTCAGGCTTTAACGAAAACAAAAATATGGTATGTAAATCTTCGTATCAGATAATTTATAGTAAGTGTTTTTTCATACCATTTTGAGGTAGATTTTTACAAAAAAGAATGAAGAAAATTTATTTGCTATAAAATATGTCCCGGGTGATGCTCAGTACTACAATATTTGACTATGGTAGGCCTATCAGTATTACCCAGAATCTGGGGTCACATTATACAAGAGCTAGGTGAAGAAATCAGGTCTTTCACGAAAAACTTCAAGGGTCGGCATTATGCATGAATTAGACTTATACACGAGTCTATACAGTATATGCACCAAGAAATGAATGGCTTTATTTTTTTTTTACTCTTGTTGCTCTTTTTGAAACGCGCAAACACACGCATTCTTTTAGCCTGAAACAATACAGGATGCGTAGCACACCTGAATGCATTCATCGCCCTCTTTGCGATTAGGTGAGCAGCGAAGCAGACGGCTTCAAATGATTGGCTAAAAAAAGTCAGGTTGCAGTCAGATGTCTTTTCAAAACAATTCACTGGATTGTTTGCACGCAATCAAATTAGAAATTTTTAAAAAAAAGAAAAGAAAAAAAGATTTCCATAGAAAGGAAATCTCAAAAAGAAAAAGAAATGAATTGAACAAATGAAACAAAAACAACGGCAATTTTATTTACTCTGATTCATATTGCAAAAAACATTAAACCCAAATGATATTACGTGTACATTCAAAAGATCTTTATATGCAAGGGACATCTAAGTTCATGCCTTTGCATAAGATACAATTATAACTTTAAAAACCTAAAAGCTGCTTCATTTTTTTATTTCTTGATTCCGGTTGATTGTATTTCATATTCAGATATGTCTTTTCAAAAACGCATGAATTCAACTCTCCCTTCTTCGTCTATAGTAAATTGGATTCTTTAGACTTTGGTAGCCGTTAGTCTAGAACAGTGATTTTCCAACCTTTTTTTTTACAATAGTCTTTTTAAAGTTGTATACAGGATAGTATGAAATGGATTAAGTCAGTAAATGTAATTAATACTGTTAAAAAAAAAACTGAGCATTTACTTAAATAAATTGTATCTATTAAAATAATGTATAAACAGAAAATATATTAAATATTTGTCGGACATCCATTTCATAATATGTTGTCAATGTTTACGTTAAGATACGTTTCGTGAGCAGATTTGATCGTTCGGGAAAGATTTGTAGTTTATAAACAGTAATTCGGACTTTGCTAACCAGACGCTTCTTTGTGGCTGAATGGTTAACATCAGATCAAATGATGGTTCCCCTTGGGGTTACAGGTTCAATTCCCCTCGGAAAAGCACATATTTTCTACGAAATTTCTCGACATTCAGGCCGACAATTGTAATTAAAACTTTATTAAAAAAAAAACAAAAAAAACTGTGCGTTTACTTAAATAAATTGTATCTATTAAAATAACGTATAAACAGAAAATAAAATAAATACAAGATAGTGTAATAATTATCGGCACAAGAAATGGAATCAGAATGCTAAGTTCAAATCCCGGGCTAGTCTGATGCGTTCACTTTCGCACAAATGTCCGCGTGTAAATCATGAATCCACCTCATCTGTCACCAGCTATGGGTTAAATAGTAGAGTAGACTGAACTATCTACCCTTGAGTGGCAATCACACTAAGAGAAGAAAAATTCTCAGTTTTGGAGGAATCAATAGAAATCACCCCCACTATCTTTGCCAAGTACATCACAATTTACAAATAATAAAGAAAAGGATTCTGGAGATAGCCATGACTGCCTACGTACTGAAGGGATATGACATTTGAAAGAAAAAAAGTAGTATTAATAATATTAGTATTAATATTGTCATGCAATACAAGCGGCAATGGGGAAAGCATGTATCTATCTCTCCCCTCAGCTATGGCTTAAATAGTAAAGTGGATTTGGTTTATTAAGACATTGGTAGCCATTAGACTCAGTGGTTCTCAATCTTTTTTGGGCACACCCCCATCTAAGCATTTCTAAAGTCCTGATGCCCACCCCAATGACATATAATTCCTTTTATTCATAAAGTGAATTCTTATTCACGTGGAGGAATCCTAAGAGGGCATTAACAGTCCTCAAGAACTTGAAACTGCATATTTCCAGTATTATATCATTTATTATTATCATTTGGTTTTAGAATTTTACAATATTTATAAAAAAAAAAAATATTGTGTTATTAACATAAACATATATATATATATATATATATATATATATATATATATATATATTATCGTAAATTATAATTAGAAGTATTCACTGCTATTTCGGATGTGACACAAGGTCAAGGTTTAAAGTGGGCCTATGGGCTACACCACGCAAAAATCCCCAAGCCCCCTTTTGGGTACGCCTCAGTCACCGGGCAATAAACACAATCCCTCCCGAGGGAGAGGTATTGCCTGTGGGTTGGGTAGGGTGATGGTAAAGCCCCCTGGAGTTTGGGCTAATATTCAATGAATATCAATCCCAAAGGTTAGGATTAGGTTAGCCTCCAGCTATATCAACTGCTATTAATATGATGGAGATTTGCATATGAATACAACATATATATATATACATAATAGCTGGCCACTCGTATTCGAGGATACCCGTCTATTAGGGCGGGGCACATTTGTGCTTGCTCAACACCTACAGAGCCCACCTGTGGTTTATACTGCACATATGCTGAGCAGACCTTAGTTACAGTTTCTGGGAGAGAGCGTGTTATCTAGCGTGATCAAAAATCTGAATAGGACCAGCACACTCAAGTCCTCAGCCACGATGACTTGTGACTTCGTGCTAGCAAATTTCCTTCTACCCAATTTCACTCAAGGCTTTGGTCAACCCGTTATATGATTTTCGGGCACTTTCTAAGAGTGCTGCACGCTGGGCTGAGACCGGTAACATCAGGAAGTCTACTTCCTGACAAAACAACCGTTGTAAGATTCGAACTCGGGTCTCATGGTCAGAAAGGGAACGTTCTAATCACTCGGCCATGCGCCCATATTATATACGTAATTACACATGTCCATACACACAAATAATTTTATGTATGCATACTGTATACTGTATATGCACCATATGTATGAACTTGCACATTCTAACAGACTTACTAGAAAAAATTCACTGTTAATAACTCATTCTTAAAAATACCTCAGACCCTTAAAAATCAAATTGCCTCCTTTGTAGCTCTTAATCTTTTGTCTTTTTATCATCTCTTCCAAACCTGCTCCGCCATACATTCGCTCAAACGAGACATGAAGGCTGTGCGTTATTTTCTTCTGAACACTGAATATCAAATTTTCAAATCCTTTTTTACTCATTATGCCATCCACTAGAAATCTCAACTGTCTCTTCTGGTATTCTCATCATCCTTCTGTAGAACTATATTTCTGTTCCTTCTTCTTTCTTCTTTATCCGTGAGGAGATTGTTCAATATTCACTGCCATATACGAGGATTGATATTACATATCTGTTCAGTACTCTTTCCTTTGTTTCTAATGATTTTTTTTGTTTCTTAATACTTTGCTTAGCTTTTGGAAGGCATGTTTCTCTATCCCAATGTACCTTCGGATTTCGGTGTCGCACTTTTTTCGTCCTATCTTTCCAGAAATCTAAATTGTTGAACCTGTTTGATTTCAGTATCTCCAATCTGTAATATGTAAAAGCAACGGCAATGTACCTAGGGTAAAATAACCTGATGGTCCACATGCCTTATTCGGTTAGTTTTTGAATTCAGATTTTCCTTTCTTCAAGCCCAGTTTGTACTGCTATTTAACCCGTAGCTGGGGGAGGATGGATTCGTGCTTTTTGCAAGAGCATCAGCGCAAAGTCCTCGTAAGTGAATTCAGCCGGAATTGAACGTCTAATTCTTTATCTGTGCCGATATTCATTACAATGTCCGTGTTTCACCATTAAGTGGAAATCCCAATAATATCAGTGTTTGTATGTTGGTCTATCTTGGATTTTACAAGTACATGAATAAAATGATCGTATTAATTCGAAAAGATCTTACTAAGATAAAAATTACCACTCATAGATTCATATCCTGACATATATTTAGATCTTTTTTCATTTCTCTGCGGATGCTGGCTCGATGAGCAATGCTCGTTGGCTTCAAATCAAGCTGACACTGTTTTACACGTATTTCCAGGCCAACAGTGAATTTCTTTATAAGTTAATATTTACCTTAATAGGCATTTCCTGTTGAAAAGTTCACTTATGCCGTCATGAAGACAAAGTGCCTCCTCAGTAAGAGGAAATAATATCTCCTCTTTGACTTGAGACATTTCTTAATATCGGTGAGCAGAAAAGTCGATAGAAGAAGACATGAAAAAAAGAAAAAGAAAAATGAAGTGGGGGGGGGCTATCGACAGGAAAGAGAAGGTGATTGGTACTTTTAGGCAATCGGAAGTAGTCCGAAGGGCAAACTGAAATGATAGTAACAAAGATCAAGGAAGAAATGAAACGATACATCTGCTTCAATAGAACCCATCACATCATTCATCACATTGAAACACCGCTTCCCGTATAACGACCTAAGTTAAGCTATCTCAAACCTAGTCAGTATCGAGATGGGTGACCGCCTGGGAATACCAGGTGTTGTAATCTTGTAAGTGCGACTGGTATAAAGGGGCTTACGGCCACATCACGTTGAAACACCGATTCTTGCACGATCACCCAAGCAACGTCGAGCCAGGTCAGTACCTAGATGGGTAACCGCTCTGTAGGCTTGAATGTGCGGGTGATATAATGAGCTTACGACCACATCACGTTCAAACACCAATGACGAACGAAGTTAAGCAACGTAGAGCATGGTTAGTACTTAGATGGGTGACCGCTTGGGAATACTAGGTGTTGTAAGCTTGGATGTGCGGGTGATATAATGAGCATACGTCCACATCACGTTGAAATACTGGTTTCTATATGACGAGCGAAGTTAAGCAACGTTGTGCTTGGTCAGTAAACAGATCGGTGACTACTTGGGAATACCAGGTGCTGTAAACTTAGGTGTGCGAGTGGTATAAAGGGCTTACGGTTACATCAAACACATGAAACACAGATTCTTGTACGATCACCGAAGTTAAGCAACGTCGAGCCGGGTCAGCACCTAAATAGGTAACCGCTTGGGGATAATACGTGGTGTAGTCTTGAATGTGTGGGTGTTATAATGAGCTTACGATCGCATCACATTGAAACGCTAGTTCTGATATGATAACCGAAGTTAAGCAATCGTGAGCTTGGTCAGTATCTAGATGGGTGACTGCTTGGGAATACCTGGTAGTGTAAGCTTGGATGTGCAGGTGATCTTACGGCCACATCACGTTGAAACTTCGGTTCCCGTATGACGACCGAAGTTAAGCAACGTCGAGCCTGGTCAGTATATATGGTTGAATAATATCGACAAGTTCTGTCTAACCAATTTTTTTTAATTAAATTTTTCGAATTTCCGAATTAGTTGTTTTATATAATCAATACATTTTACAAAGTTCGTATTTATTTTGAGTTTATTTTTTTCCAGTAATTTCGTATGTTGCTATATTCGTTTTCAAGAATTTCTTTTTTTCTGTGTTTATATAAGTGTTTCTGTTTAATAATCATCTGAAAGTTGCAAACGCTATATACCTTATAGATTACACACCTGGTGAAGGCAGTAGAACTGACTGGCGGAAACTGAGGCTGTGATGATATCAATAACTTAAAGAATGCGTTCAGACGTCCAAACAGCTGCCATGTTTTTTTTAACACTTAAATACTTCACTGAAATAATGAATGTGGATAGGGTTTAATACAATAGACTTCTCACTATCAGATGTATTGCGACATATGCCTAAGAGATTTCAACATGGTTGACCTATAGATCCTAACATAGAGAATGTACTTGATATAAGTAGGCATCTGTGTTTGTGTTTTCTTTGAAAAGAAACAATAAATCACTCGATTGCTGCAACTCCAACAGATGTCACGTGGAAATCCAAAAGAATGGTTCTTCAAACATGCCTGGCCCATCAAATAAGAACACGTCTTCAAAAATGAGTACAGCTGGAATCAATTCCAAGATTCAGGCCAATTAAACTGGAGTCTTGCAGGGAAAAGTTATTTTGTTTTTTGTTATTTTGTTTTGTCAGCCATCTTTCCTCTATTGTTTTCGCTTCCATCTTTTTATTTGTTGAATATTTTTTCGGTTGGTTAAATTTCTGTCAAGCCGAAAATAACTATTGCTATTAATCTTTGACGAGCATTTATTCTTTCTGTCTCTGTCTCCTCTCTGTCTCTGCCTCTCTCTCTCTCTCTCTCTCTCTCTATATATATATATATATATATATATATATATATATATATATAAAGAGAGAGAGAGAGGACGGGGAGGGGGAGGTAGATGAACGGATAGATAGGAAATGATTAGAGATAGATAGATAGATAGATAGATAGATAGATAGATAGATAGATAGATAGATATAAACAGTCTGAGTAATTTCCAATGACGTCATTAGCAAATTGAAAACTACAGCTTCTACAAATTTGCATTTCTTGTTCATTTGTAAGGTTGTATGTTATTCTATAGCTATACACTTTTAAATGCGTTAAAATACTGAAAAAATCCTATCAAATGACATCATTAGCAAATTGAAAAATGGAACTCCTGAAATATTTTGATTTTTTTAGTCTTATTGCGTATTTTGTAAAATCGAATTTTCGGTTTCAGAAACTTTTTCAAGAACTAAAACATTTAATGACTTTTTTATTATTTTGAATAAAAGTTCATCGATTTATGACACAGGAACATAGTTGCAAAAGTTATAACCCTAAGATATATATATATATATATTTCAAACATATTTCATTGAATTATATATATATATATATATATATATATATATATATATATATATATATATATATATATATAAACATATTTCATTACAATTATATATATATATATATATATATATATATATATATATATTTTAGTTGGATAGATGTGAGTTTGTGACCCTGGGTTTACGATCGCTAAAGCGTGAAACCCAGGGTCACAAACTCACATCTATCGAACCAAATATGTTAGCTCTATCTCTGATATTGAGCAAATTCTAATAAGTACTCGTATATAATATATAAATAATTATACATATATATATATTTATTTATATTTATACACTTTTCACACACACACACACACACACACATATATATATATATATATATATATATATAATTTTTTCTTATTGTTCAAAATTAATTTTTTTATTTTCTTATTGTTCAATATATATATATATATATATATATATATATATGTACCACTTGTAACAGCAAAATTGTTCTTTAATATCTTACTAGAATTCTCCAAGGTTTTTATAACAGTATTGGACTCTACTTTGAACAATAAAAATGTGTAATTAGTCTCCAAGATTAACAGAAGAATGGTGATGAAATGGATCATAAATGAAAATATGTTCATCATTAATTAATCATAGTTAAGAATCGAAAGCTCATGCAGGGTTGAAATAAAGTTCAAATATTATTCCAGAGTTATTTCCCAACTTATTCAAGATGATCTTCGCCCTCTCTAACTTTCTATCTGTCCTGGAGTAACAAAGCGCATCACACATTTCACGTACAATTTCATTTTCAAGTTTGTTTTTTTTTGCATTGCTCTTTGGACTGGCATAGCTGAAGCGCTTCTCTCTCACATGTCAAATCTCTTATGAACTGAATTGGATTTTTTTAATTGATCTCTTTAGCTCTAAGTTGAAATGATGATCCTTCTTGCTGTTGTGACCTCCTGATCCAGTTTTCCTCTCTACTGTTCCCTCTTTTTTAAACTTATTCATCATTCTCTTGATGATTCTTGAATGGACTTTGCAGATGGAAACCAAAGTATGAATGTTGGTATCATTACTGAAGGCCTCAATGATTTTTCCTTTTATCATTGCACAGTTGAGAAGACAGTGGGACGTTAACACAAAACGATTTTAACCTGTTCTTTTTCTACATGAATAAAGGGTTTTTCAGTGATTTTTACGACCGATGGTATCAAGATGGCTAAACGTATTATTTGAAAACCTGGAAAAAAGAAACTCAATCATTTTAGTGTTTTTTTTTTTTTTTTGTTAAACATTTTCTGGGATGGACAATTATGCTGTAACACTATTTGGACATTTTTTCTGTTTTTAAGTACATATAACAAACATTTAATATCATTTTGCATTTCTACCAATTTCTGGTTAGCTCGCTTATATTGGGACTGACTAGGTTCTATAGCCTTGGATGACAACTTGTCTAGGAGAAGGACAACTTTGGGCATGAGGTCTCTGTATTCGGCCCTTCAAAAAGTGTGGTTGGTTCTGCACAAAGCCTTCACCATTATAATCAAATCATGTGTGCTTGTGTCTGGGCTGTCATTTCCCTAGGAACTGAGCTGCTTGACACTCATACGTCGAATACGATGGGAGAGTCCACCATATATATATATATATATATATATATATATATATATATATATATATATATATGTATTGTATGGGAGGTTTTCAGCCGCACCCTGTATATACATATACATATCTCAATAAATAGTAATAATAAATCGGTTTTTATTTCTCATATATATATATATATATATATATGTGTGTGTGTGCGTGTGTGTGTGTGTGTGTGTGAGAGAGAGAGAAAGAGAGAGAGAGAGAGAGAGAGAAAGAAATTATCCCCATCCCCTCCACGCGCCAAACCTTGTAAACCGCTTCAGCAGGCGGGCTAAATCAGGTGAAATTACCATCAAAAGGCGCTGCACACTCTTCTGTGCCCTGGTAGTACCGGAGAGGTATAACTCCGTGTTAATAAAACCTGAGGGGTGTTGTTCATTGGGTTCGTGGCAAATATTTTCACCAACTCCTTGTTTATCAGCACACTTCCAATAAATGTGGCTGCTTCTACACAAGCCTTCCCCACTCTAAACAAATCTTTTGTGTGGACTGTCTGCAGTTCAGTTCAGTTCTGTCTTCCTTCTTTACTATTCCACCTGATCAACAAGTCCAATGTCGTGAGAGTTAAGGTGACGGTGACAGGATTCAAAAACTGAACTGAAAGATACTCATACGTCAAAAACGATTCCATCATATGTATATATTATTTAGAGTAATGAGGCCTTAGTCCTTATCAAAGTCATATTCCGGGATCACCATGCTTTGTTAATTTTTTCTGAATTTCGTTCTAGGTGTTTTGATGGCAACAAAAAAAAGTCGTTGGGAAAAAATTGAAGTAGGGTGACAGACATGGGTGATATGTTCTTTTGCTCTGAAATAATGTATAGCAACTCATATAGAACGATTTAGGATTACATTTTTTTAGGTCAACAACTAGTGCTGAACAGTTTTATTGAATCTTAACTCGTTGTTGCTGTTGTTTTGTTTGTTTATTTTATATTTTTGGTGTTTTTGAAGAGGCTATTTTGCCGGTTCCGGTAAAATAGACAAACATGCTTTTAAGTATGCTTTTTATGACCCATACCTGCAAAATGCCTATTTTACCGGTAAATATTTTTATTATTATGAAGGCGAGTAATATTAAAAATAACAACACCTAGATTTAACACAGAAGTTTATTTATTTTCACCATCAATTGTTAAGACAATTTAAAATCTTTTCCACCATCAATTGTTAAAACGTAATTTATTTATTCATCATTAATTATTAAAAGAAATATAGAAGTCTCTAAATATTTTAAGCACTTCAGGCATAATAGTCTCTGCAAATCCCAAACTTGCCCTTGGGCATGATTCTCATGCCAATGTACTTTAGGTGCCTACAACAGTCACAGACCACAGAATCCATGTTGTTCAAGTTCTGCCTACACAGCTCACACAACCAC